CCGCTGCGTGACGTCTGCCTGAGCCTGCAGGCGGGACACGAGGAATGGGAGCGAGCTGCTCAGCGGGCGTTCTCCGTGGTGCCCAATGAAGTCACTGTCAGCCCCAGCCCGCCGTGAAATGTGTGCCCATCCCGGGATGCTGGGGTTCTGGGGTGGAGTGTGAGGAAAGCCCCACGCCTGATCCCGCCGAAAAGCTCTGCATGTCGGAAGCACAGGTCTCCCTGCGTAGAGACGGGTCTGTAGGATGCAGGGCAGGGACAGGCCGTGCCCTGCTGAGGGAGGAGGCCCTCAGAAAGAAACCGGGCAAAACGGCACCTTTTCCCTCCACGGCTCGGCTTCCAGATGAGGCCAGCTTCCCCATCGGAGACACGGTGATTCTTGCCAGCCCTGCAGTGGCAGTTCCACCGCGGGGGTGCTGCCTGGAGCCCTTCTGCCTTCTGCACCATCACCGGGCGGCTGGGTCAGGTACCGACCCCCGAGTCCATCCCCGGTGATGGGCAGAGGTGAGTTGAACCTTGCTGGAATAGCACCCCCCAGGCAATGAAGGGCAACATAGGCTCACGAGGCTATGTCTAGACTGCAGGCTTCTTTCGGAAGAAGCTTTTTTGGAAAGAGTTCTTCTGATAAAACTTCTTGCGCAAGAGAGCGTCTGCACTGCCAAAGCGCATCGAAAAAACGATCTTTTTCAAAAGAGAGTGTCCAGACTGAATGGACACTCTCTCGCATGTCAGCTGTGATTGCTATGGACGGAGTGGCCACCAGAGCACCTGTGCTTTTTCCTCTTCCCTCTTCTTCCGAAAGAACTCCCTCTTCCCTGTCCACACACGCCTTTTTGCAAAAGAGCACTTTCGCAAAAAGGCTTCTTCCTCGTAGAATGAGGGTTACCAACACCGGAAACTCCACCCCCCACCACCCCGTTCTTTCAATTTTCTTGCGGAAGAATGCGATTGCAGTGTGGACATTTTTCCGACAAAACTCTGTAGTGTAGACATGCCCCGAGTGGGCCACATGAAGGTATGTGGCAGCTCTGAGGGGCGCCGTGTGGCCCCCGGCCCCGGGCGCGCCACGGCCCTTACAGCTGCCATCAGGCGCCCCCCATAGGTTGCCCGGCTAGCCGCTCCCTTAATCCAGCCCTGGCTACGAGCTGGTAACCAAGCCAGTCTCCTGGGACAGGGCAGTTTTGCTCACTGAGCTTGTGTGTCTAGAATTTGCGAGGTGGCGACTGAACCGTCGCAGTGCTGTGATTGGACACATTCGGAGGCCTGGCCCTCACAGTCCACGTTGTGAGCAATCAGCCCATGCCTCACTTCCCCTGCCTTGGCCTTACACGTGTGTCATTTTAGTAACACTAGTAGGAAAAAACACCCGGCTGGAAACCAGCGGAATCCGGCAGCCCTGCACGTGGGCAACGGTGAACAAAATGCCTCACGGGCCCTACATAGAACCCTAGCGGGCCCCGGGTTGCCCACCACTGCTCCAGTGGGAGCCAGCCATGCTGAACAGCTGGAAACATCCCCCCAAGGGACTTGGGAATGGAGCCCCCCTGGAGCTGGGCCCACCAGGCTCTGGGCATTTGCAATCCTACTTGGCCAAGGTGACAACTGTCAGAAGAGGAAATTTAGCACAGGCCTGCGATTGGGGTGCTTTGTGACCTGGTCCGTGCCTCAGTTTCCCTGATGGCAATGGGGATAGCAATGCTATCTCCCACTGGGGCTAGGGGATCTCCAGGTGCTTAGAACAAGACTGAAGGCTTGTCTAGGAGCCAGGAACCCACTGCGCCAGCCTTCTGCAGGCATCCATCCGCGGGGCACATAACTGGAGGACCCAGAGCTGACGTGGAGGCCTTGGGGCTGGTTTCACTTCAAGGAAGGGGCATTGCCTGGCGGGTGACACCTGCAGATTGGCTGTTTACAGGAGGCTGGGGGCCAGCAGGAGCTTGGTGCTGGGAGAGCCCTGCCCTGGGGTAATTCTCAGACTGCCCCCTGGCCTGGTGGCGAGATCCACCCCCAACTGATCTCTCTGAGGGGGTCTGTGGGCTGCTGCTGCCCCAAGCGGCCCTGGACACGGCGCCCAGAATACCAGGCCCCCGGGCTGAGCCTGGGAGGAGCTTTGCAAAGCCCAGGTGGCCCCGGTTCAGTCCATGCCGAGGCCAGGGGGCAGAGAAGGAGCCCAGGCTGCGTTTCCATGTCCTCAGCCGCGCAAGGGTTAACGCAGACGCTGCTCTGGCCTTTCCCCCAGCTCTGATTCCCCCCCCCCCCCCATTTTGAACACGGTTTGAGCAACAGACCTAGCCCCAGCCTGGGAGTCAGAGCAGGGCTGCAGCCAAGCCCCTCGGGAGCGCCCCTCCGGGCAGCCCCGGAGCGCAGGAGACGGGCTAGAGCCACCCCCCACCCCTGCCCCTCCCTCTGAGGAAGATGCCCGGACGCTATTGTCTCCGAGTCGCCCCTCCCAGCTCTCAAGCAGGCCCCAGGGGACCCCCAGGGTTTGGCTGCATTTTGCTGGGAGTCAGAGCAGGGCTGCAGCCAAGCCCCTCGGGAGCGCCCCTCCGGGCAGCCCCGGAGCGCAGGAGACGGGCTAGAGCCACCCCCCACCCCTGCCCCTCCCTCTGAGGAAGATGCCCGGACGCTATTGTCTCCGAGTCGCCCCTCCCAGCTCTCAAGCAGGCCCCAGGGGACCCCCAGGGTTTGGCTGCATTTTGCACCATCCCTGACAGATCATGGGCTCCCACTGGCCAGGCTGGGGGTGGGGGCCCTGTCTGGGCACCACATGCCGCGAGAGGCAGGAGGTGGGGTCTCTGCCTGGGCTGCTCCTGGGGTGCAGGGATGGGGAGGGAAGATCCCTGCCTGGGGGGTTATGTCACTGGCTGACCTGGTCTCCGTGGCCAGAGCAGCTGCGCTGGGCGCAGAGGGGAAGCCAGCAGAGCTAAGCAGTGCTCCGTTGCTGGGGTGCACCTCGTCACAGCCCCCCAAACCCAGGCTCAGGAGGGAGCTGCAGGGCCAGGTGCTCAGACTGCAGCCCCACTTCCAAAGCCCAGGCCAGACACCAGCCTGGGCCCCTCACCAGGGAGCCTGGCCCACACCTCCCGCTGCTCCAGAGGCCAGGGCCCAGCCCGGGGCAAGGGGGTG